ATAATAAGAATCAACTTGAATATTGAACCGTGATCTTTTTCCATATTATATTCTTTAAAAAGTGAATAATTAACGGGCTGATTAACTGAGCTTACTCCAGAACGCCTATTGGTTTACTTCAACCTGCTCTTCTTCAAAAACTACTTATCGTACGCAATTTTGCTAAAGGAAAAAGTTATTTCTTTTAGCCTAAAATATCACGACTTGTACTCTGTGGGCGCGAATTTAGGAGCACCCTGTATATATATATATATTATATTATTATTATATTATTATATTATTTTATATATTATAAAAATAATAATAAATAAATAAAGTTATTATTAAATGATGCAATGTTTGCTCAGGAGACGATACTTTCAGAACTCAATACAAATATTGAAAAACTATTTAAATCTATCTACTAATGGCGGTCTGATATGATACTGACCTGTACTACTTGTTTACCTGCGATCGATTTTAATAATGTCATATTAAATCGTTTTAAAAAATTTTTAAGTTAACAATATTCATTCGGCCTTAAATGTATCCCTCTCATTAGATTCATTCTTTGAATAAATTATCCTAATGTAAAATGGTTCTTCCTTTTCGAATGCTCTTTGTATTGAATCGAAATCTTTTTATAGACATTAAAGATTATTCTCAAAGATCTTAAGACAGGAAAGCTCTCGAGGCGGTACCCAAAGCCATTGTCTTCTATATTACACGGCGCAAATACGCCGGGAAAACTTCTCAACCCCCGCCATAATATGTACTCTCGTTTGCCGAACTTTTCCTCGTATCCGTTGAAGTGTTTCACGTTCCTGCACTCGTTCCTGTTCTTCTGAAAGAACGATCTCGCGGGCTGATTGCAAAGCTTGTTAAGCAAAAACTATCCTTTAAGTTGGTCTATGATAAGATAAGAGTGGGGCGTATTAGAACAAGCTGTATTTTTCTTTTTATTTACTGGATGTTAATCTGCGCATTCTCATGGAGTGTGTCACATTAATTTACCCTTCGTTAAATGTGTAAGTAAAACGAAATATTGTAAATACACTAAAAATTAGTGCAACGTAATATGAAAATTGAAAATATACATCTGTAATAACAATTTACTGTTGCATTTAATCATATATATTATTTGATAAAAATATATATATTAGTTTTCTTAATAAAATAGATGTAATCTGTTATTCTTTACAAAAACAAAAATAATATTTTTTGCCAAGTGTTAATAATCACACCTGTGTTAATTTGGAGAGCTTGAATTCTTATTTTTGATTACTAGAACATTACAAAGTATGTGATTTAGCTTCTTTTGCTGTTTAATATAACCTGAGAAAAAAATATATATGAGTATAATATATTATATTTAACTAGTATATATATATTAATTTTTTTTCTTTTTTTCTTCACACTTAATTTTAAAAAACCTAGCACCATTGCACAAAAAAATACTATTTATCTCTATATTTATTTATCTCTAGATATTTGAACATCATAATTGTTAAAATATAAAAAAATAATTAATTTTATTCCAATATTACTTGACATTTTTGTTTAAAAAAAATTATCTCTCTCTCTTCGCAATATGATTTTATGAATCTACTATTAAAACAAACAAACGATAATTTTAAAATGATCTACATAAATATGTAAAAAGAGAACAGGAAAGATAATATATTCTGATAAAGTCATGCAAATGTATGTAAACTATCTTTGTTCTTCTATAAAAAAATGTATCATTTTTAAAATACTCGATAAAATATAATTCTTAATAATTAATTATACAATAATTATAAGTTATTAATTATATATACAAATAATATATTAAATAAAGTAATTTATCATATTTAATATTAAATATATAATATTATAATTTATCTTCTTCTTTCTCTCTCTCTTGCTATTGTTAATATTACATATTAATCACACATCACCACCGCCAACGCCAACGCCAATGTCACCGCCATCACGACGTGATGGTCCTTATCACAACGATTCATCATTAAAAATAAAATATAATATTCTTATTTAATATATAGTTTATTTCTAAATATTAAATACTATAAATTAAAAATTAATACTATAAATACTATAAATATTCAAACTTATACATTTTATACAAAAAAACTTGTACGTTTTTATTTAAAAAAATCTTGGGAATATATTAAAAAAGAAACGAAGAATCTTTGTCAATGAAGCAAAAAGAAAGTTAATTATAAGCAAATTTAATTTATTATTATTGAAATGTGAAGCTATACGCGATTTTAGTGACGAAAAAAGCAGAAAATAGCTCATGAAGCAAACATGAGAATAATATCTTTCATCTTTCTGTCTTTAACTATTTTTTTAACTTTCTTTAATGTTATTTTTTTCAAATTATTAAAATTAGCATGATTTATGATAGCTGCAAATAACACGAGTAAAACAACGCACAAGAGTTATAGCTTTAACCAATCAGCATTACGGAAAGAATATACGGAATACATTTTATATACTTTCGAGTATCAATATGTTTTTTTATAAAAGAATTTTCAACATTATGTACTTGCAAGACATTATATAATTAGTTCATATTCATTAATATTAATATTAATTGATATCATATAAATTTATATATGAATTTATATACATTACATATTTAATTATTATTTATATAATAGATTTATATATTAATAGAGACATACAATTGGAGGTGAATATTCGAATAGAGAGAGCAATTGAAAACTACTGATGCTTGATACTACACATAGTCAATAAAAATCTGATAACTACCGGTGGTAAAAAGTACTGCACGAATCATTTCGAAAATTGATCCGTCACGCTGCAGAAATGTAACAGTTTCTATTTTACTATTTTTAACTTGTAGAGAAGAGAGAAAAAAAAACAAAAAAAAAAAGAAACGTTTTTACGCTCGTTTCAAAGCGCACGAGCATCAAATATGACATTTTTTAAAAATCGAAAACTTTTATTTGGCGACTCTTGTTAACGATATATTGTTACATAAAAACAGAATATAGGTAACAGTGTATTTAATATACACTGAGCCAAAATTTTATTGCATCACTTGCAAAAAACAGGAAAATCGTTACTTTAACATGAATATATATGATAGATATAAATATTATCAAATTATTGCAATTTAATTGCTATTTTTTATGCTTTAATTTTATGAGGAAAATAGATATAAATAGAGAAAAAAAAAAAAATTTCATTTATTCACATTTCCTGTATTTTTGGGAAGGGGATGATGCAATACTTTTTACCGATACTGTACTTCAATTTTATCAGATGTGTATTCGATGATGCAAATAGCGTAAAAAAAACATAGTCGATATTTTTAAACACGAAGCGAGCAAAATCTGCGATTTAAAGCGCCATAAGGCTTCCGTCCTCATAAATAACCAAATCGCATTAAAAGAACTGCATCTTATTTTTCGCGAAATTTTTTTCTGAACAATAAAAAAGAATAAATTTACATACACGTGCACAATACATTTTTCAAATAAAAACTATCTCTTGTACAGTCAAACGTGCCTAAAATTCTTGAGGTAACGAAGAGAAAAACGAACAAATCCGACATCCATTATTCAATATTCTCGTATCGTATTGAGTTAAAATGGACCAGTTACTGTAAGTTACCGAAACTGTAGTTCTTGCGCTCTACTGGTGGCGTTTTTCAACACGCCAAACCATGATACACCTTTGTTCAGGAGAGTGATTTAACGCTGCCAACGGCTTTTGCTTCGCGAAAAAGCACCTGGATTTATCGTGCGCGCAACAAACAATGAGATGACTGTGGCTTAAACGCGGTTGTAGAAACTAGCTATGGACCTATCCTAAAACGCGGTAGAGTTCGTAGCAAAAATTACTTACTAGAGCTCGTTACTGCAACAGGTTGTTGTCATTGTGCTCTATGCGGCCGCGTATGTTTATATCTCGGGTATCACCGTTATACGGGCTCAAACCAACAGTGTTTGTTATTTGCGATAAGCAGGTAAAGCACAGTAACTGCAACGGAATCCTATCTTGGCACCACCATCTCATAATTCTTCGTATTTTCTAGACAAGACCGGAATTTACAAACTTCGCTTAGAGCAAGAGGCTTTACCAAAATTAATCCTACTCCAGAAGAAATACAAACCAGTTGTCAAAGTTAAATGTTCTAGTGTATGTTTTCACAAAAAAACTGAAAAATTCTGATTGATGAAACTTTACACACATGTAGGGAGGAGAGGGATAAATAGATGAATTTTTAATTGCCGCTCAAAAAAGATTTTAAAAAGTAAAACTACTCCTTTTATGCAGAGCGGTTTTTTTATATATTTATAGCTCCAAAATTATTCGAGATATTAAAAAATGTTTTTTATATAAAAATTTCATATCTTTAATATCTTTATTTAATTACATTAATGAAGTAATTTTTTCAAAAATTTTTTAGAAAGAATTTTTTTTCAAATTTATTAAATTTTATTTATACTTGTTTATTATTTCAAGTTATGTTTCTTATTTAAATTTATATCTAAAAATTATTAAATTATTATAAGATATTATTTAAAGATAATGAAATTTGAGCAGGTATTAGTTTGATATTTTTGATTGCAATTTTTATTAATTTTATTTATTAATATTAAAATTACGAGTTTTAATTCTTATATTTATAATTATTTTTGGAAAAAAAGAATAATTATATTATGAATAATTATATAATATAATTATAAATAATTATATTAAAAAATTATTCATATTTTTAGTAACATTAACAAAACCATAATTTTGTCAGAAAATTTTGATATTTTCTGCCAGCTTCTCTCGTCGAATCATCGCGCGAGAAATTTTCATCTGCTCTTATGCAGGCATGAATCGACCTGGTTCGTGTGAAAAGGAATCGGTTGTCTCGGAGAATCTCCTCGAAGGTTCAATCTCGCATTTGCTCGCGCACGTTCGCGGATACATCCGTATGGATCCGTACATAAATCTAGGTGTACATACAGATGAGGGAGGGAGAGAATACTTACAGGGACGGCATTTGTAGGCGACCTCGATGTACTTTTGCAGCCCGGGACAAGGGTCGCCCTGGAAGGTCTGCGGGTTGGTGTTAAACTTGCATTGCCGCTTTTTCTGACAGACCCCGACCACCATCTGCAACAGTGAGTGCTAACGCGTCATTGAGAAGATCCGCTCACTTTGCGATGGGAACCGATAAGTTTTCTTTCTTATCGAGAATGTCAAATCGAACTCCAATAAATCATTCTTTTTTGAATGTAATAAATTATGAAAACTTTAGCTTACGTATTTTTTATTTAATTAAACGATATTTATATTAAACTCTCTGTTATTAAAAAAAACTATTTTCGATAAAATTATCTTCAATTTCTGATAAATTTCGAGGACAAATGAACAATTCCATGTCATCACGAATAATTCGGATATATTGAATTGTCATATTGAATTGTTTGTTAAATTTCTAAAATATTATATCAAATATTAATTAGAAAATATTAATTATATTAAATATAAAATATTAATTATAAAGTATTATATTAAAATGTATAATAAAAATATAACATTAATTAATTATAAAAATAAGCGAGAGAGACGAAAAAAGACGTATTGGACAGGGACTTAATAACGGAAGCAAACGGATATGCCAACAATTTAAGCCCGATGACACTTTAAAGTCGAAGTTGGGAATTAAAGAGCCTTTTATCGCAGATATTGCAATTGCTATGAAAGGTATAGGCTCAAAAAGATTATCTACAAAGGTAGACAAATGATGATAACTGCAACTGAAGCGCATCGTTTTTACAGCGACTTAATTTTACGGCTGATCCTTTTGACAGACGCGAGTACGAGTTTGAAATGAGATTAATTTTGTCTTTTTATAAAAAAAAGCCCTTGAATACGCGAGTAAAACTAATATCGTCGAGATTAAACTGTATATGAAATTGTATGACATGTACCAATATTTGCAACACGAGAATAAATCGGTGAAATGAGCAAAACCGCTCTCATGAAAATACGCCTGAAAAAAAAGGGACATTAGTTTCTGAAACTTTCGCATTTTAAATATCGCAAACAGTGCAGATGATTACACGAGACCTCGAATGGATGAGTGGAGAGTCCTAAAATAAGGATATACGATAAACGTCAGCTGCAACGATCCCTTGACAAAAAGATTAAAGGAAAAATCGTGTTTCAGCTTCCACGGGAATGCGTTTTCGACGTTTATCCGGAAATGCGGCGACTGGATTCTGCGGAAGCCGAGACGGAAGCGACGAATTTAACGCAAACAAACGTAAAGAAAAAGGAGACGCCGGGACTTTTTAATTTGAGAAAACTTTCACTGGAACGGCAAGTATATCGGGGTCCGAATTTCGCGTTCTTCGAGGATCATCGGTTCATCCAAACATCGTCGTTAATGATAGCCGCACGTTGTCGTAAATTCCGAGGATTCCGCTTTCAATCGGCTAATTGTGTGCAAGAACTCGAGTTACAGAGACTCCGTCCGTGCTTAATTACGTTAAACGGAATCTGACGATGTTACACGGACGTGTATCTTTTAATGAAGCGAGCGGTAATTTTAACTGCTACGATGTAGTCATACAAATACACACATGAATATGAAAAACAAGGAAACGATCCAGTTACGCACACAGAAAAAAAATAAGTGTCAAATCAAAACTTATATACTTAAATTAACGCGTTTAATGTTTCATATATACACAACAATTTATAAGACAATTTATTAGATATAATTTATAATTCTTAGAAGAATTTAATAATTTTAAATTTCAACAATATTATAGTCTTATTTTAATATTATAATTGTCATCTCAAGAATATATAATTATTTAATTCTACTTTAAGAAAATTATAATCTTCGATTCAAAAATGTTATTTTCTATCTAACATTGTTTCTTTTCCATTCAAGAAAATTAAATCTTAAATCGTAAGAATATATTTTTCTCGATTGAACTATATAAAATGGCTTCATTCAAGTAAGCTATTATTCAAGCAATTATATTTTTCTTTAATTAACGTGATATAATCTCATTTCAAGATTTCCATGTTAAAAATAAATATATTTTTGAAACAAGAATGCCCTTTTTTCTGTGCACTGAGAAAAAAATCTAGTTGCATTAATTAGAATTCTAGTAGATTCAACCAGTATGTCTGTTGGAAGATGGACGAACCAAAATTCTTGTAGGAATTACCAGATGAATCTGATTAATTTCTTCCTGTTAAATTTACCAAATTTTCTGGTTAATAATACTAAATTCGCCACCACCAAGTCGTCTAAAATTTTTTCCATCTAATCTCAAAAGTCTGTTTAATATTTTGAATTTCAACAAGATTATTGGATAAATTCAATCCAGATTATTGAATAAATTATTTTAAATTCAGTTTGTTAGAAATTAAACTGTTAAACAGTGATGCAAGAAGAGGATGCAGTTCAAACACACACAATCAGAGAGCTAGCGTCTTCTTTCTGGAACTACTGCTTGTAAGAGAAAAAAAATATACTTTGGATTTAATGTTAATACTAGTTCTTTATATACATTTCATGGCAAATATTGAATACGAGTTACATTAATACGAGCTCCCGGTTACATTAAGCTCGCTCATGCGACATGTGCGGTAATTGAAAATCGATAGACCCGCTCTAGGTGAGAGGTTGGGAAATGCGAGGGGGAAAAAAAAAAGAATTCGTGTTCGCCGATTGTAATATTTCGCGCACGAGGATGCGAGGGAGGATCCTTTCGAGAGGCGTTTGCGCCGTTTTGCCTGCGAGAGAAATGTGGAAATTACATTTCCGGGGTTCAAGCTGCCACCGACACACGTTGGGATTCCCCACGTGCGCGACCCGCGTACGATATCCATCTAATTATCCGAGTTCGCCCCCTCCCTCTCCCCTTCCGCCCCCGCCCACGCGCCCGGGTCTCCCCTCCCGAGGGAGAAATCGATTTTCCGCGCGTATTGTATCGATACATCCGTGTCGTCCGTCACAATACGTAAACGTTTACCGTGCAACCCCGTTGTGCAAGTTCGTCCTTCGGAGAGGGCGAAGTCAGGACGTGTAATTCCCGTCGACCATTGTACCGTTTCTCTCGACTCTCTCGTAAGCGAAGCGATATCGTCGACTAACAACAGCTAATCTCGGCGCGAATGAGGTGGAACCGTGTTGTTTCCAATCATGCGGGATGGAATATCAGTCGAATTAATTCCGATTTAATTCGCGAACAACAGCAAGATTATCGAGATGCGTTTATGGAGCATCTTCGGGGGGTTTTATTTTATGTAGAACAGTCGCTTGTTATATCCGCGCCTCGATAAAAATATGTTTTTCTCTCAGAGAGAAAGAGAAAGAGAGAAAGAGAGCGAGAAAAGGATGCATAATATACATATAAAATATATAGAAAGCGCCACAAAATCATTTCTTGTACGATGTATGAAGGATTAAACAATAAACCGAAGAAGAAGAAGCATATCGCGTCTCAATCTTTAGAAAGGTACATGTATCTCGCAACAAAGCCCGAGTCGTAAAATAAATCAGGTTCCCTTAATCCGCTTTATTCGTCACTCGATCTTGATTTGTCCGCGGATCCTTTATTCATTCCCGCTTGTTCAAAGGCTCAGTCTATTCTTAATATGAAAAATGTTAGAAATTGATATTTTTCATGTTTTACATATGTTTTTACCGATGCTTAGAGTACGTCAGTATTCTTTAATCTTGAATATTTAGTTTTTTTTCTACGTTCAATACAGCCTGTGTACGTAATGTGTATGTTCAAAAGTCACTGCATGACACGCTGCTCCTTGTATAATTTTTTGAGATGAAAAAATTCGGTCTAGTTTCATTTTGTAAGATATTTATGGGATTCTGAATTTAATTAAAATTTAAAAGAATAATATTTTTAATATTTTTCTGATTTTCGTGAAATAAAAAAATTTCAATAAAATTGGAATACCTAATGTTTTAAATCATGATGTTTTATAACGTATTACATTTTGTTATGTTTCAATTTTTTAAAAATGAAATTAAGTTTAATATTTCAAAAATAATCGGAATAAAAACAAAAGAAAAATTAGTCCGAGTTTTTTCAAACAATTACACGAGCAACATATACTGTCGAATCATGCATTTTTGAGTACGCTATTATGCGCAGAAACTTGTATTGAATATAAAAAAGATGAATATTCAAGATTTTAAAATACTGACATATTGTTTAAATATCAATAAAAACATATGTTGCCCAACAATGTGATATTTTGTTGCTAAACAATGTGATATTTTGTCTCTCGTGCAATTGTCTGAAATGAAAAAATTCAATTTAGTTTTATTCCGTAGGATATTTTTGGGATATTAAATCTAATTAGAATTTAAAAGATTAATTTTTAATATATTTTCCTGACCTTCAAGAAATTAAAAAGTTCAGCCAAATTGTGAAATATCTAATTTAAAAAAAGACTATTTTGTTATTTTTCAGTTTTTTTAAATGAGAAAGCGAGCGAGAGAGAGAGAGAGAGAGAGAAATTCGGTTCAATATCCCAAAAATATTCTACAAAATAAAGCTAGACTGAGATTTTTAATTTTAGATGATTACACGAGGAACAACATGTTGCATGATCGAACTATGTATCTTTGAACACGCAGAAGCTCGTATAAAATAAACAAAAAAAAAACTAAATATCTAATATTCCAAAATGCTGACGTACTGTTCAAATATCGATAAGAACATACGTCAAAACGTCAAAAAAAATCAACTTTCACTATCCTTCATAAAAAAAAATTCCAAAAATTATCAATTTTTCCAACGATTAGGACAGACTGCTCTTTATATATAAATACACTCCTCCGTGAATTCTCTTTGCTTTATTCCTGCTTCTCTTCTCTTTTAGTCATCGCGATTTACCCGCACGTTTCTCGGAGGGGCCAGGGGGGGAAAGAGGGAAGGCGAGCGCGCGTCTATCGGCGTCTACAGGCGCGACACTTTTATTCCGACATAAGTCGGGACTTTAAATTCCTTCCTCTTTATGGAGGCAGCGACGTATGTCTCCGAGAAGAGTTGCTCACGGAGAGGAGGAGAATCGAGGAGGTGGGAAATAAGCGTTCGCGCGGAAAAGCCTTTTCGCGAGAT